ATCGTATATTTGTTACGTATACCATCGAGTATGTCTGCACATCCTAAAGGTTGACTAATAGAGAAAGTCTATAGAATTAAGTACACTTTTTGTACCATATTTTATAGGTCAATAAAGTTTAAATAAATATATATTAATCTCTATGTATGTGCCAAAATTTATTCAAATCGCTGCTTGATTGATATTGGTAGTTTTTTTTTTTTATTGGGTGAAAATGGAATGGCAACCCCACCCGCGCTATCGGTATACACCGACGAGGCACCAGTGGAAGATGATAGGAATGAATGCAGGTCAGTCTGGCCACTATGATGAATTTGATAAGAATTAAACATTATGGTGTCCAGGGGGAACCGCGTGGAGGTCGACCTGAGAGGGTATATTGCTAACAATGGGGCTATTAGACCTTATTACTAGCAATCCTTTTCCCCCCTGATTTTGGTAGTAACAGTGATCAATCTACGAGTGTTGGCAGTCGCACACATACTAATGGTAGCGGAATTAAACAAAATAAGCGGAATAAAACAAGATGACACCTAATTCAGTAGAATATCATTAAAAAAGGTATAACGTGTTATAAAAATCATATATTTGTATATGTCACTTATTTTGTAAAACCTATCTTTACAAATTTTTACAATTTTTTTTATGCGACTTAGAATGGCAAACGAGTTGACGGTCCACCCGATTGTATTTATTTATTTTATTTATTTATTTAATAAGGTTCACATACAACTTTTACATTTTACATGCAACTTAATAACACAAAAAATAATTTTGCCTAATATTAAAATCTTTTATTGTAAGTGATAATTGTCGCCTATAGACATAAGCAGTACCATGGACATAACAGAGTATACTGTTTCGTCCATGATACCCCCTATGCGTTGCCATTTCTGAGGACTCAGGTGTTATTCCTCTGTACCCAGTAAATTCACTGCCATATCTCACCTTTTCAACCGAAACACAGCCATGGATACAAAACTGCGACGGTAGAAACACGAATGGGACAGAGGTGCCCAAGCAAACGACTTTTGTACAAAGTCTCCCTCTGGATTATAATAATAATAATAGATCTTTTATCCGTCTGTATCCTAAGTTAAACTATTTGATTTAGTAGATTATAAAAAACATAACATGCGCCCCTTTCGCACCATTATGTTATTAAAAAAGTGCATCTCGCGTGATCTAAACCGATTAGATCGTCGTACGTGTGCACTCTCCCTAAGGTTCCCACCATACCAACTGCCTTAAAACTTCTGACTACAAATTATGGCTACAGATTGTTATATTGCTTTGTCTTATATAAAAACGTAATGGTCTTTTTATGGGCTCCGTTTCGAAGAACACATAATTTTATGGACATTACAATCGCTGTGCTATGGGGATTCAAAGGTTTAGGAGTCATGTTTTAGAACTCGTTGTTGTTTTGTGTAGTCCTTGTGTTCTTTGAATAGTGATAATAAAATTATTAGGTACTGTGATTTAAGGTCTTCATGATGTACCAGAGGGGGTCTTTGTACAAAAGTCGTTTGCTTGGTTACCTCTGCCCCATTCGCGTTTCAACCGTGAAGCAGTTGTGTTTGTATGGCTGTGTTGCGGTTTGAAAAGTGGGATATGGCGTGAATTTAGACGGTACAGAGGAATAACACCTAAGTCCTCAGGAATGGCAACGCATGGGGGGTATCGTGGGCGAAACAGTGCACTCTATTATGTTCACGGTATTGCTTATGTCTATAGGCGACGATTACCACTTTCCATCAGGTGGGCCGTTAGCTTGTTTACCATTCTAAGTTGCATAAAAAAAATCTATATATTTTAGTTACAATATCTATGTAATGGTCCAGTAACGAATATGTTAAAATTCTGTTATCTAAAAAATAATATTGGATAACAGACTTTTAATATATTCGAAAATCGAACGGATACGGCCATATTAAAATGGGTGATGACCTTTTTCCCGCCATTAATGTCCAGAGGAACCCAATATATAGATATCGGATCGGTATCCCTATTTTTTTTTATAATAATAATAATGGAATGGTAATCCCATCCGCGCTATTGGTATACACCGGCGGGGCACCAGTGAAGGATGACAGGTGAGGAGGAAGCAGATCAGTTAGCCCGTCGTGACGAATTCAGCAAGAATTGTTCACGACGGTTTCCAGGGGGAACCACGTGGAGGTCGACCTAATAGGGCATATTGCTAGCAATAGGGCTGTCAAACTTCATTGCTAACAATCCCTTTCCTCCCCTGGTATCCATATTACCCATGCCTATTCTATACTGTTGTATTAATGTGAATTGTATTGTAAATGTAATTATTGTATTTTTTCTTAAATCAATATTATTTTATATAGTAATTATTATAATTATAGATTGACGTATTATAAGTATCCGTAACAGATGTATATGAATAAAGATGATTGATTGATTGATTGATTGATACCACTCGTATTTCTATCGTCAAGCGGCTGTGCTTGCATGACCGTATTTCGGTTTAAAGAGTGGGATAAAGGGTGATTCTTTGAGCTATGTGGCCAGCCCATTGCCACTTCAGTTTGCTTATCCTTCGAGCTATGTCGTTGACTTTAGTTCTTCAGCAGATATTCTCATTTCGGATTCTATCACGCAAAGAAACTCCGAGCATAGCCCTCTCCATAGGGGGGAAAGGGATTGTTAGTAATGGAGACTGAGAATCCTATTGCTAGCAATATACCCAACAAGGTCGACCTCCTCGCGGTTCTCCCTGGAAACTATCATGGTTCATTCCTGATGAATTCATCATGATGGGCTAACTGCCCTGTTTTCATTCTCATCTATCACCCTTCACTGGTGCTCCGCCAGCGTATCTCGTTAGCGCAGACGGGGTTACCATACCATTTTCACCCATCACAAAAAAAGCCCTTTCCATAGTCCGCTGAGTAATTTGAAGCTTTTGCCTTCGGGCAGCCGTGTGGGATCATGTTTCTGTTCCATAAGTCATCACTGGCAACACGCACTGATTATGTACTTATTCTACGCGGAAAAAGCCACGGGACATAGCTAATAATAATACTTAAAACGCAATCTAATACCGTTCATTTATTAAAATTCACAGCATAGCTGGCTCAATCACAGAGTAGAGTAACACTGTACATGCAAATACCGACCTTGTTCAAAGGTCACACGCGCTATGTTACAACAACAAACTGGTGACATAACATGCCATAGAGATTATCGTAAACCGAAATGTCACTGAAGGTCAGTGAAAGAGAAATTAATAAAATTTAAATTAAATTAAATTTAAAATTAATAAAACACCCTTTACGTAATTCTAAACTAGCTCTCTTAGCTGGCTTCGTCTGCATGACCGGGAATATTTACAGATCGGAATAAAAAGCAGCCTATATTAATTCCTATCCCATATAATACGTGTATACCAAATTTCATAGCGATTGGATTTTTTTCTCTATATTCTATATAACTTAGAATGGCAAACAAGCTGACGGCCCACCTGATGGAAAGTGGTAACTGTCGCCTATAGACATGAGCAGTACCATGGACATAACAGAGTATACTGTTTCGCCCATGATACCCCCCATGCGTTGCCATTCCTGAGGACTCAGGTGTTATTCCTCTGTACCCTGTAAATTCACGCCATATCCCACCCTTCAAACCGATACACAGCCATGCAAACACAACTGCTTCACGGTTGAAACACGAATAGGACAGAGGTACCCAAGCAATCGACTTTTGTACAAAGTCTCCCTCTTAAAGCGCTTAAAGCACTTTAAGGTAACAAACAAACAAACACATTTTATACTTATAATATTAGTAAGGATTTTTTACGTCTTATCATCATGTCAGCATTTAACTGTCCACTGCTGAACATAGGCCTCTAATTTGGGAGTTTTGCCAGTTGCTACGCTTGGCAAGCGGATAGACAACCACAGCCTTTGGAGATGTTTTAAGAGGAACGCTGCTACCCATCTTTCGACCTCCCTTAGTCGCCTCTTACGGCACCCACTAGAAAGGCCGGGATTGTCCATTCTATGCGGGGACCACACGGCAACTTTGTATTTGCTCCGGGGCAATTAATTCTATACACTTTCTACGTATAAAATTGTTAATATTTAACTGGCGCATACCGTATCATACGTTACACAGTAATTTGTAATGCTTTCTGCCTTCACTCGTATAAACTGAGATATCTAGATACTATCAAGCGCCGTAATGGTTTCACATTATAAAAATAACATCATATACATATCTGACGTTTCATCTTCACGCTGGTCTCTATGTAGGCAAGGGTAAACAACACGAACGTGGAAAAATAAAAAACAATATTATTTTGATTTACAAATCAAACTACTGAACGACCTGAAAGTATATCTTTTCAGATAAAAAAGAATTTTTAAATATGTCCAGGCGTTTTCGAATATCGGGGATCAGGGAACATACATAAGTATAAAAATAATTAAAAGATTTTGACGAATTGAGTACCTCTTCTTTTTTTTGAAGTCAGTCAAAAAAGATAATCACACACAAAACAAAACATGGGCACACAATCATTCAAACCAAAGATTTCATTTGGGTTTCTATCGTGAAGCAGTTGTGTTTGTATGGCTGTGTTTCGGTTTGAAGGGTGGGATATGGCGTGAATTTACAGGTTACAGAGGAATAACATCCGAGTCCTCAGGAATGGCAACGCATGGGGGGTGTCATGGGCGAAACAGTATACTCTGTTATGTCCATGGTACTGCTCATGTCTATAGGCGACGGTTACCACTTTCCATCAGGTGGGCCGTCAGCTTGTTTGCCATTCTAAGTTGTATAAAAAAAAATTTCGGAATAGAATTCAAATTGAGAAAATATAGTTTAATTTAAATAAGAAAAGCCATTACTCAAATTTACCACATTAGAGTTGAATGTATAAAATTCTTTTGCCTAAATTGATTAAAAACGGCGCTGGTTGGAGAGGAGGGCAGCGACAATAATAAATAATATTAAGAAAGACTTACCAGTATATTTTCTTAAGACAGTCACAATGTAACAATAATAATATGTCACTCAAGTAGAAAAAACAAAATAAGTATCAAAAAGACATATTCATAATATAAAAATATAAATGTAAAAAGGTAAACTTATATAAAAAGAGGTCTGTCGCCAACATTGATCCTCATTTGACAATTTTTTTTATACAACTTAGAATGGCAAACAAGTTGACGACCCACCTGATGGAAAGTGGTAACCGTCGCCTATAGACATGAGCAGTACAATGGACGTAACAGAGTATACTGTTTCGCCCATGATATACCCCATGCGTTACCATTCCTGAGGACTCAGGAGTTATTCCTCTATACCCTGTAAATTCAGTGCCATATCTCACCCTTCACACCGAAACACAGCCATGCAAATACAACTGCTTCACGGTAGAAACATGAATGGGACATAGGTACCCGAGCAAACGACTTTCGTACAAGTCTCCCTCTGGTTAGTTATTAGTTATTAATTTTATTATACCATAGACAAAGAATATAGTAATTCTTAATCTATGCACGCAACATTTAATCGTAGAATAAGTATCTTAATTTATGACTTTAGAATAAATAAATCACAGAGTAAGTAATCAATACTTTATTTAATGAGTAATTTAAAAAGTTTAACTTAAAAACCATATAAAATAGACACTTCAAACTTTAATCAGTGGCAGAATAGATTTATTTTGCGTTTTTATGTGATGGCGAATGGTATAGCCCACTGATGATGATTATACCTTTGGCTAGCTCTCGCAACAATCAACACAAATGTACCGTTACAATAGTGTTAACAAATCGCCGAAAGCTAACGATCTGCCATGAATGTCAGATATGCATGTATAACGTCCATTTTGTACATTTTGTACATTTATATACTTAGATATTTGAATGTATTATTGAAAATAGAATAGAAATTATCTTTGTTCAAATATACTTGTTTATAAGCTTATTAATATAATCAACTTTTATGATTCTATTGCTGAGTTCGAAATGTTATTTGCTGAGAAGAACTCGTAGGAAACTGAACAGTTACTCTTTTAAATCTCTGTTGACATTATGTGTACCTATTTAATTTAATGTATTGTTGTCTAAAAAAACATGGTTATTTTAAATAACTAATTAACAACATACGCTGTTGTATTTCCAGTAATTATTTAATCTAAGATTAGCTATTATTATATTTAGTAGTAGCTTGCCAAAGATATTAGAAGCAGCTCAAAAATATCTAGAGTCGGGTTAAATACATTTATTATAACTTTGTATGTTAGCACACTAGATTTATAACATTGATTTGGCTTTTGCTGTTATAGTGTTATAATTATTTTTAATGAATTAATTAATTAATAAATAAAAATATAATAAAATAATTTTTAAATGTCTCATATTTATAATAAAATAATAAGAATATTCATGTCGCCTTGTAATCTTGGCATAGAATGAGCCATCCCTTTCTTTCTCGTGGGTGTAGTAAGAGGCGACTAAGAGACATTAATGGCCGAGGGATGAGCAGCAGCGTCCCTCTTAAAACATCACCGAAACCTAATAGCGGTTGCCAACCCTCCTGCCAAGCATGGCAACTACTGGAACACTCCAGTAAGGGGAGGCAGTGGACAATTAACGACTGACAATAATAATGTATCATCAGAATTCTTGCATCATCCTGAGTGATACTGGCTATAAGATTTTTGAAAAAAGGTTTTTGGCAGGGCAGTCGTGTTGTTTAATTTGCAGAGCAAAATGTACATACTTGTTAAGATCTCGTTAATGATTATGTATAAAAAATATTTGCACCATTTTTTTCAGATATATCAACAACAACAGTAGCCACAGCGACCGAGGTGGACACAACGACATGGCCGGGCGCGCTGGCGCCACTGGACACGCTGACGGTCGCGTGCGAGCGGGACAGCATGCACGTCACCGTCTCGCTCGCACACACGCGCGCCCCACACTCTGACAGGTTAGCATACCATAGAGTTTACTTTTTATTCTAATGTCCTTCAGGCAAAGAAAGCATCTGAAGTGGAGCCGTGTCTGGCGGCTTTTTTTTCTTTTGTTTAAACATCAAAGGAGTCATTGTTTTTATGCGCTTACTTTTAAAAAGCACTTACTGTTTTACATACAACTTTGTTGCAACTTAAAACTACCTGTAAGTAGCAGAAAAAAGCATAAATAGTACCACAGACATCATAGATACTGGGGTCGATTCTGAGCAACATTTTTCTGAATCAATCTCTCAAATTTCAATTTCTATTTGAAGTCGCGGCGAAATCTTTATCGTAAGGATCAATATGAACTATTTTTCTTACAGATTTAAGCAAAAATTATTATATAATTATTTTATGTTAGTTCAGAAGACAGTAATTTGGTGAAATTGTTAAATTAAAATGTTAGATTAAGAGATAAAGTTTACAGAAATGGTTGGTACCTCTGAATCGTGCCCACTGTAATATAGTACCCATCAGATATTATTATTCCTAAAAACTTAATAATTATGCCTCCGTATTTTGTAATTTCTGCTGCCATCTGATCCCAGCATAGAATGAGCCTTCCTTTCCCATTAGTGTCGTAAGAGGCAAATAATGGAATTTTAATAGTCAAGGGATGGGCAGCAGCGTCCCTCTTAAAATTCTCACCAAGAATAGCAATTACTGGTGAAATCATCCAATAGGCCATGTGTTCAACAGTGGAGAGTTAACGGCTGATATAGTACAGAGGAATAACACCTGAGTCCTCAGGAATGGCAACAAAGGGGGGGGGGGGTATCATGGGCGAAACAGTATACTCTGTTATGTCCATGGTACTGCTCATGTCTATAGGCGACGGTTACTACTTTCCAACAGGTGGGCCGTCAGCTTGTTTGCCATTCTAAGTTGTATAAAAAAAATCCCAACCTTTAATCCGATACACTGTCGCGTATTCATAGTTGCTTCACAGCAGTGACGTAGGATTTTCGAATAATAAAATGAAAATAAATGCTAACTCCGCCCGCGCTATCGGTTTACGTTAGTGGTGTATCAGTGACGGATGATGGGTGAAGATTAAATCGAGTTGTTGCTGTTGAGTCGAAGAGTAAATCTAGTTGGCACATTGTAACTAATTCATTAGGAATTAATCAAGTAATGTTTCCAATACCCTTTCACTACCTCTCGTTATAAAACAGTAAGTAGTTTGTTTCACATTTTTGGGCACTTTGCCATTATCGATGCATCGTTTGTTTCTATCTTGCACATCTGTGGAACAGGCTCCATTCTGCAGTTTTCCCCTTACATTACAATGTGGGAAAAAGTGTGCTTATAAATATTAAAAAGACCAGCAACGCACAGATAAATCCCCTCGTATCGCAAGTACGCTAGGTGGCCGTAGCTGTCACTGGACCAGTGGACCAATCGCTCGTTTGCCTACCTAAATATAGAAAAGTGAGACAGAAGTATAAATTGTCAACGATAAATTGAAAGTACAAAAAAAAAGTCTAAAATCCTAAAGTTCAACGAAAACATCGAAAAATTAAAATATATCAATCTGGGTTATTTAGACCCTCCACCTCTTAGGTGGGGACCTCGGGGCAGACCCCTTTGCCCTAATTTCAACTCCGGGGGCAACTACCCCCGGGCCACTGGAGCTAAGCTAAAAAATCTAAATAAATCGTAACAAAAAAAAGCTCCCTCCGGATGGAGAGGCGTGGTCTTCGGAAGTTAAAGTAGATAATTTTATATTAGATTTATAATTTTAATAGATACCGTTGTAAGTGATATGAAGTCTACCGCGTCATCTAGCATCTAGCAGTGTAGTGTAAATATCATTATTATCAACATATCAACCGTTAACTGTTCACTGCTGAACATAGGCTTCTTTCTAGGGGGGGGGGGGGTTGCCATTAGTTGCCACGTTTGGCAAAAGTATAATGAAGTATAATTTCCACAGTATATACGAGACATTCAACGGCATAGTGTACCCAGCTGGCCTGGGCAGCAACTCATCGTGTCTGCGGGAGTACGTGTCCGCGAGGGGCGACCTGCAGTACACCTTGCCACTGAAAGGATGTAACACCATGTCCACCGATAATGTAAGTATAAACTAAGTTAAACTGTGGAGAGATGTTGCATTTCTATGCATTATCTACCAAATTTATCATGGGGAGTACTCTGAGAAATAGTTCGGATTGATCAAAACAACTGGTTTTATTACAATTGAGACTGTAAAGCTCACCCAATTGATTGAATAAATAAATAAATATATATTAATGTCGGTCTTATTTGTGGGACACAATCTTTAATTAAACAATATCCAATGAAAAGCCACAATCACGTCAGTACTACCTCTCTTGTTAATCGATGGGGCTTAACACTCATGTCCATATTATACAATTTAACGTCACATTGTATTCGAATTTATTATGGAACACCAAAACAATCTTCTATTTCACCTGTTCTCATTGACGAGCCAACAAAAAAAATCAATCCTTCATACACTCGAGAATTACGCAACAAAGCACAGACCCGACGTGTGGCACCATACATTGGGCTCTATTGTTCTGTCAATTCGGTTACAGGCGACGCCCACACTGTCTCCCGGCGTTAAAGAATAGTATAATTTTGTATACTTACCATACGGTTATTGTTTACGTGTACATATGTGTGTAACTAGCCAGTGTTGGGGGGAAGGGATTGTTAGTAATGCGAACTACCACGACCTTTGCTATCAATATACCCTATCAGGTCGACTATCCACGTGGTCCCCCTTGGAAACCATCGTGCCGAATTCCAGGTGTATTCATCACGATGGGCTTACTGACCGGCCTTTTCATTCTCACCTGTCATGAAAAGGCCGGTCTCACTGGTGCCCCGCCAGTGTATACCGTTAGAGCGGGCGAGGTTACCATTCCATTATCATCAATTAAAAAAAACAGTCGATATCTATATATGGAATATACTGAAGAAAAAATTATATAGCGATCCTAATAAAAACAATAGATATTAAAATTTAGGTTTCAGATTTATTTAATTGTAAAATAGACTCCGCAAGACGTGTGCTGAGTCAGTGGTTTTTTGATGGTTCATCTTTGAACGTGTGAATTAAGCTTTTTGCATAACTGTATACTATATGTATATGTAACCTCTATACTATATGTAACTGTATACTATACGTATATGTAACTGTAAGAGAGGCAACAGACACCTTTCAAGGACACGACCTTCAGTAATGAAGAGGACGAAGAGAGAGAGATGTAACTGTATGTATATGTAACCTATAATGTTGCTACTCTAAGTTTATTTTACTTGATTGTAAGTATTAGCGATGTCATGTCCGTTAGTTAAGTCTTGTTTTTATTTGTGAAATTCTGTAATTGGCTTTTTGTTTTTAATGTTTTTTTTTATTATGCAATTTTTTAACTGCTGGTTTTTCTTTAATAAAGAATAAAGTAAAATAAATATCTTTTAGAAATTTATCTGTATATTGATTTACGGCATCAAGTAAAAATTATGTAACAAATTAGATGCAGTTTTCATAATTATATTCCCGAAGGTCTAACTTTTAAGTACGGGTAGAGTCACGAAATATAACTAGTGATATCATAAGGCCGAAAAATAATACTGCTTTACTGGATTTCTCTCGATTGTTGATACTATAAATATTTAATATAATAAAATTAGCCACGTGGTCCCAGAGAACAGAGCACCCCTTCATTTTCCATAGGTGTCGTAGGAAGCGATTAAGGGCTGGTTGAGGGATAGGCAGCAGCATCTCTCTTAAAACACCATCAAAAGCCAAACTACGGTTGCCAACCCGCCTGCCAAGCATGGCAATTACTGGCAAAGGCCTCCTTGTAAGGAAGGCTATGTTCAGCAGTGGACAGTTAAAGGCTGATTCAATGTAAAAGTACCTAATGTCTCAGCCGAGGATTTGTTTATGGGTTCAGAAATATTTATGTATGTGTAACACGCGCTTCCTTGTTACTACATAATTTATGCCGTGTATGTGTGCGATGACCCGTCAATTCCGTGAAATTATACTTATTTACATGTAGATATATTATAGTTTACATTGTTAATTTTTTATCGACTTCAAAAAAAGGAGGTTTAAAAATTTCAAGCGAATTGTGTATTTTTTATGTTTGTTACCTCAGAATATGCTGACGAAAAGATCTCCGTTAGAGATAAGTCCACCCTTGCTCACAATATTTATGAATGCATTAACAATATAATTTACAAGTGCAATAAAGAATATATTATATATAACACTGTATCATTTATGGCGTGAATTTACTGGGTACAGAGAAATAACACCTGAGTCTTCAGAAATGGCAAAGTATGGGGGATATCATGGGCGAAATAATATACTCTGTTATGTTCATGGTACTGCTCATGTCTATAGGCGACGGTCACCATTTTCCATCAGGTGGGCCGTCAGCTTGTTTGCCATTCTAAGTTGTATAAAAAAAATGTAAGGATTTTTACTTTTTTTTCAAGGCAGAATATCTTTCAAGCGACAAGTCCGCCTTTATACCTTGTCCTTTTCTTTATCTATCTGATATCCGTGTAAAAATTTAATGTAGAATAAAACTTATACAAACAAACAAATTTTCAGATTGATCTCGTAAAAATTTTATTAAAATTTATTTAGTACATATAAATGTTCCAATAATTTAAAAATTTTGTTTCACATAAAAATAGCAACTTCAATAGTGGAAAAACCGGTTGTTTTGATTTAAAATCAAAGATACTAGATATAAAGAGCTAATTTTGATAAAATTTCTGTGAGAAGAATTAATCTGAAAGTATATCCTTATAGATAAAAAATGAATTTTCTAAATCGGTTTATAAATGATGGAGGGCAGAGGTAACAAACATAAGAATAAATACAACTGAATTCAGAACCTCCTTTATTTTTGAAGTCGGTTGAAAACAGCAACAAAACACATACGCGTTTCGCCATATTGTCAAATAATTTAAAAAGAATGGAGTGATTAAAACAATAAATAAGGTGATAGATAGAGGCTGATACGGGTGAGGCTTTTTGCGCGGAAGAGTATTCATACCTACGTTAGGGTTGCCAGCACTAAATTTCAAAATTTCGTAGTTGAAATACCAGGACAATTTAAGTTAAAAACAGGTCGCAATAATTGAGTGGTAATAGTATACACAGAAAATAGATTAAATGAAATTTGAATAATAATTAAATTTCTTTAATAAAAGTATTAAAAAAATTCGAAAAATACACGTTCAGGACCAAATCCAGGACATCCTAGGACACTCCAAAAATAAGAATAAGTCCTGGAAAAACAGGAAAAGGAAAATTGACAACCCTTACCAACGTTATAATAGTGCTAATTAACTACAAATCCGACTTTCATTTTGAATGCTTGCAACGTAATCTTTGTTTTATTGCAATACTAGCTGTAATCCCAGCTTCGTCCAGAGTCCAATCATGACGTTAAATACCGGTCCCCAAGAAATGAGTATTTAGATAGATAAAGTGCTTATGGAAAATAAAATACATTAAAAATACTCCAAGTAGTATGGTAATGCATTTAAATACTCGACGCGAGGTTATGTAAAAAAAAATGTAAGCATATATGCTCTACTAGCTTTGCGAAGCCGGGGCAAGTCGCTAGTATTAGTATGGATTATTGCTAAATCCTGTGGTTGCCGTGGTGTCCCGGCATAGTATATACCATCCCTTTTTTCCGTGGATATCGTAAGAGACGACTAAAGGAACTTAATGGTCGAGGGATGGGCAGCAACATCCCTGTTAAAACAACATCAAAGCCTGACTGCGGTTGCCAACACTTCTACCAAACATGGCGACCACTCGCAAAACTCACTAATAGGTGTAGGCTTGTGTTCAACAGTAAATCAGACAGAAGAAAGATTCTTGAGTGGCGGTCCCGTATGGACAATCGCAGTGTAGAACGACTCCCCACTAAATGGAGTGACGACCTCAAGCGCATTTTTGTAATGCTCCCCCGTAGAAGTGCAGCATGGTCCCGGATATTAAGTTCCAGGTTTTTATCTGATTTTATGTCCTTCCAATTTTTCCCTCACTCTTTACTGCCATTTTTCCTTTCATTCCTCATATTCATTCCATTTTCCATTTACTATGTCTATTTTGTTGGTTATTTCAAGAATCCGTCACTTTGTTCTCAGTTTGAATTGGTTCCAGTTATCGAAGAACCACAGTCCCTCGGCATAGTGTTATATTTGTTTTACGGTACTGTCCACATCCTCGCATATGAATCAATTTGTGTTTCTAAAATCTCAGATAAATATGTCCCTATACTGTCATTCTGTTTTTTATTTATTTTGCATGTTATCTTTATTTCCCAATTCTTAATTATATATTATTACATATTATTACAATACTTTTATATTGTGTTATGTACTTGTTTATATTATTTTCAGTTTTATCGAGTTCCTTCTTAATTTACTATCTGGCCTTACGCTATTGGGTTACTTATAATCGAAATAAGTCGAAATTTTTTGGCCCATTTGAATCCCTCAAGTGCATTGCAGGGAGTCAGCGGATGCAGGTGGCTCAGGACCGTTCCTTATAGCAGTCTATGGGGGACGCCTATATCCAGTGGACGGACAATGGCTGAAATGACGTCGATGTATAACCCTAGAAAGTAGGGGAAAGGGATTGTTAGTAATAGAGACTGAGAATCCCATTGCTAGCAATATACCCAACCAAGTCGACCTCCTCGCGATTCCCCCTGGAAACTATCATGGTTAATTCCTGATGAATTCATCATGATGGGCTAACTGGCCTGTTTTCATTCTCATCTATCACCGTTCACTGGTGCTCCGCCAGCGTATTCCGTTAGCGCAGGCGGGGTTACCATACCATTTTCATCCATCAAAAATAAACCCTAGAAAGTTACTTCCCTGCACAATAACATTCACGTCCACGTCGTGGCTAAAAATAAAACAACTCATCGTGCCGCCCTGCCGATGACGACGCTTCCTCGCTCGATACAGCTATTGTATCACGATATCGTGATTATAACTCGTGATCTAGACAAATCGCATCACTTCCCGTCAGTTGCTTACACGATCGTTGACGACA